GCAGTCCTCAGATCTTAGCCTCCTAAGTAGCTGGTATTGCAGACCTGAGCTACCACCACCAGGCAGGGGTTGTTTTTGTTCTCAGGACCTTGTGTTGATAGGCAAGAACTCTACTATTTGTGCCATGCACCCAGTCCATTTGCTTTTAGGTTTTTTTTGTTGTTGGTGGTGGTGGTCATGGGGCTCGAAGTCTTAGCCTGGGTGGTATCCCTCAGCTCTTCAGCTCAAGGCTAGAGCTCTATCACTTGAGCCACAGCACCACTTCTGGTTTTCTGATGGTAAGAATCTCACAAACTTTCCTGCCTAGGCTAGCTTTGAACTGCAATCCTCAAATCTCAGCCTCCTGAGTAGATAGGATTATAGGTATGAGCCACCAGCACCCAGCTAGTTTGTTTTTCAAATAAGTGTCTCAAGCTAACTTTGTCCAAACATCCTTGGTCTTAGATCCTCCTGTCTCTGGCTCCTGAGTAGCTGGTCTTACAAAGACAGAAGTTTTTATTTTTGTTAAAACACATCAACATGCACACATTTGTGGGGATCACAAAGTGTTGCTCACATCTGAAAACATGGGGACTGAAGATTATGTGTGTTTCTCTTGTCACTTCTAGCCTAGAAGAACCACTGAACTGTAAGGGACTGCTATCACTCAACCATTTGGTCCAATCACTGACAAACACATAGGACCATTCACAAACACCAAACCAAACGGTGAATCTAAGTGGCTATTCAAGTATTAATAGATTTAGATGATCAGGAATGTACTGGTTTTTTAGATTACAGATAATCCAGAAAATTGAGCAATTTTTGTTTGTTTCTTTATTGCAAGTCCTGGGGCTTGAACTCAGAGCCTAGACATTGTTCCTGAGCTTCTTTTGCTCAAGGCTAGTACCCTACCACTTGAGACACAGTGCAGTTCTGGCTTTTCTGGTGTGTGTGTGTGTGTGTGTGTGTGTGTGTGTGTTTTGGGTCCGGTCGTGGGGCCTGAACTCTGGGACTGGGCGCTGTCCCTCAGCTCTTCAGCTCAAGGCTAGCGCTCTAACACTTGAGCCACAGTGCCATTTCCGGCTTTTATTTCTTTTTGCTTATGTGGTACTGAGGAATGGAACCCAGGGCCTCATGCATGCAAGGCAAGCGCTCTACCACTGAGCCACCTTCCCAGCCCTGGCTTTTCTGTTTATATGGTACTGAGGAATGGAACCCAGGGCTTCATGCATGCTAGGCAAGCACTCTACCACTAAGCCACCTTCCCAGCCAAAATTTTTATAAGAACATATCTAATGCTCAGTTTGAGATTCCCTATTAGAACAGAAGAGGTATTTTTTTTTCTGACATAGAATTTTGCTATATATCCTTGACTTATAGCCTTGATATATGGCCTTGAACTCACAATCTTCCTGCCTCAGCCACCTAAATTCCAGGATTACAGACATACATACAATATCCCAGCTTCTTTGCAATAATTAGGTTTGAACTCAGGGCTTTACATTTTTTAGGCAAGGGGCTTGACCCTCTCCTCCAACCCTTTTCAATATGGTCATGCTTGATATAAGGTCTCAATTTTTCCCCATGCTGGCCCAGACTGAAAACCTCATTTATGCTTCTCTCCTGTGGCTGAAATGACATATGAACACTACCATACCAGCTACTGATCGAGATTGGGATCTTGTGGACTTTTTAACCTAGGCTGGCCTAAACTCTAGTCTTCCCCATCTCCAAGTAGCTAGGATGACAGGTGTGAGCCACTAGTGCCCAACTGACATTTTAGAGAAAGGGTCCCAGGAATTTTTTCCACACTGTATTTAATGCACTAATTGGAAAATTCATCCTCTATTTTTGTTTGTTGTTGTTGTTGATCATGGGGCTTGAACTCAGGGCCTTGGCACTATCCCTGAGCTCTTTTGCTCAAAGCTAGCACTCTACCACTTTGAGCCACAGTGCCACTTCCTGTTTTCTGGTGGGTACTTGGAGATAAGTCTCATGGACTTTCCTTCCTGAACTGTGATCCTCAAATAGGATAGTAGCCTTCTAAGTAGCTAGGATTACAAACATGAGCCACAGGTACCTGGCCAGACTGAGTATTCTTAACCTAAAACTCAAAATCTGAAGATGCAGGAAAATTTCAGTTTTGGGAGTTAAAGGATTAGGATACTTCACCCTGCTCATCAGAAAATCTATGCAAATATTCCCAAACCTAGAACCTCTGAATCTGAAACAAATCCATCCCCATACATATCAGATGAAAGATATTCAACTTGTGTCTGCTTGTGAAATTAAACAAATCATGCAATATATAGTTTTTTTTCTGATCTCTTTCACATTATCACTGTGTATTCTCCTATGTTGTTAATTAAGAGGCAGGTTAGGAGCTAGGAAGGTGGCTCAGTGGTAGAGTGCTTGCCTTGCATGCCTGAGGCCCTGGGTTCGATTCCTCAGCACCACATAAGCAAAAAGAAAAAAGCCGGAAGTGGCGCTGTGGCTCAAGTGGTAGAGCGCTAGCCTTGAGCTGAAGAGCTGAGGGACAGCGCCCACGCCTAGAGTTCAGGCCCTACAACCGGACCCAAAAAAAAAGAATAAAAAAAAAAAAGAGGCAGGTTAATTTTCTTCTTTGGTGCTGGTACTGGGGCTTGAACTCAGGGCCTGCATGCTTTCCCTTAGCTTTTTTGCTTAGGGCTACTGCTCTACCATTTGAACCACAGCTCCACTTCCAAGCTGGTTCATTTTCTTTGCTGCATAGTAGCCTATTACACATTTTCATTATATGTGCATATATTCATTTAGGCTTTTTCCAAAAGTTCAGGGGTAATGATGAATAACACTGCCATTTTTTTGTGTACCTATTGGTCATTTCTGTGTTACAGGATAGAGGTGCTTGGCTAACCTATTAGGTATGACTCTCCAGTGACCACAGAGTGGATCCTGCCCAGGGAGACCACCAGACTGAGTCACAGACCCTTTTTCCTGTAACCCCAACCACAACGGTCTCTCAATATCCAGCAAGTTGAACACTTGGGGAGCACTAACACACCCTCACATTTTCATGACCTTATTTCTCATAGAGGAGAGGGAGAAAAGGGGAAGAGGAGGAGGAGAGAAAGAGTGAGTTGGGGGGGCAGGAGAAACAGGCGGGGTGGGGGGGAATGGGAGACAGGGAGAGGGAGGAGCTAAAGGGAGAGAGTGGGAGAAGGGGAAAGGGGGAGAGAGAGAGAGGAGAAAGAAAAGAGGGACAGGGAGGAGGAGGACAGGGAGAAGGGGAGAGGAGGAAAGGAGGAGCAATTGCAGTCTGAATTCTCATCCTGTAAAAGCCAAGTTCTTCAGAGAAGTGAAGATAACCCAGCGCCCAGGTCCAGCCAGCTTTCCCCTTCCGAGGCAAACGACTGAGACAAGCACCCTGACTGGAAGAAATGGCCATTGTGGCTTACGGTCTCCATGCTTGGGCCTGCAGTGCTGCACCCTTGATGGAGTCATAGACGTTTATGCCAGGGCACCAGGCAAACCGAGACACGGGAAGGGGCTGGGTCCACTTCCGGCCGAGGCCACGCCCCACAAACCCAACCCCCTCCTATTAGGCCCCGCCTCCTACAGGTTCCACTTCCCAATGACAACACAGGGTGAAGAACACACCTTCAGTCCATGGCCTTGGGGGAGCGGGGGAGGGGGACATTCAAAATCCAAACTCTAGTAGCAAATTGCCTAAAAAGGAGGGTGGGAGGCAGACTGAGCTCTCAGAGCTACAGGGCCCCGATTACAAGTGTCTAGTTGCTGTGCCAGACATGTTTCTGGGCACAGGATTCATCAGTGATTTTAAAGTCTACTAAGAAAGACAGGTGTCACCAGACACCATTGGCTCACACCCGTAATCCTAGCTGAAATCTGGAGGATCGTGGTTCAGTCAGATGAGGCAGAAAAGTTTGAGAGACTCCCATTTTGAAAATAACCAGCAAAGCAAAAAAAAAACAAAAAACAAAAACAAAAAAAGAAGGAGGGCTGGAAGCAAAGCCCAAGTGGTAGAGGGCCAGCTAAGCAAGCAAAACAAGTTAGAAGCCCTAGCTCAAATTCCAGATACACACACACACACACACACACACACACACACGAAAGGAAAAAAAAGAAGAAAGGAGGGAAGGAAGGGAGGGAAGGAGGGAGGGAGGGAGGGAGGAAGGAAATAAAGGAAACTAATAGGAGTACCTCTTTACCCTGAGAGCCACCATAGTCTTCCTGGAACCACCATTTTCTTAAACAATGCATTCTCTTTCCCTCTTGGTACTGAGGGCAAGCACTAACCTTGTGACTCATTTCACAACTTGCTCTCAAAACCATCTTTTTTGAAGGGAAAGAGGGAGCAGGGAAAGGGTCTTCCAATGTAGTCCAGCTAGCCTAGATCACAATACTTCAGCCTCCTGAGAGCTGAGATTACAGGTATGCATCACTACAGTTGGCACTACAGTAAGCTTTTGTTGGATTTACACATTTTAAAAGAGCACAAATAAACCAGGCACTGGTGGCTCATGCCTGTAATCCTAGCTACTCAGGAGGCTGAGATCTGAGGATCAGGGTTAGCAGCCAGCCTGGGCAGGAAAGTGCATGAGACACTTATTTCCAATTAACCACTAGAAAGCTGGAAGTAACACTGTAGCTCAAGTGGTAGAGCCCTAGTCTTGAACCCAAAAGCTCAGAGACAGTGCCCAGGCCCTGAGTTTAAGCTCACTATAGTAAAACAGAAGCACACATTCTACTTCTTGTTTTACACTGATAAGTAAAAGAAACTATTCCGAAGATTAAAAGAGGAAGCAACATGTTCTTTGGAATAAAAAAGAATAACATAATACATTATATTTTTCTATGACATTCAACTTTATTAATGTAGAACAATTAATACCAGCCACAAAAGTATATAATCAAATGCAATTACTCAAGTTAAAATTTCATTCTCTTTCCCTGTTCTTTTGTGTGTGTGTGTGTGTGTACCTTGTGCTTGCTAGTCAAGCACTCTGTGACTGAGCTATACCCTCAGATATCTCTTTTCGGTGTCTGTCCTTCAATTAAAAAAATAAAATAAAATCAACAAAACTTTGTTACCTCACAACCAATTTGAAACAGGTTTTCAGGAACAACAGTACAAAAAGACAGTGCAGACTGGAATGTTAAATCTATCCATTCTTAAGCAAAATGGCAGTATGATGTTGAAATTCACCAACGCTTTTTCCCCAAAGCAGTTCCTTTGTGATGCATTTTCTTGAGTTCTGCCCAAGACTGCCACAATAGCAGTCCTGGGATCAGAACCCACAACCCATTAAAGAATACCAGATAGACCCAAAAGTACAGCCAACTGTTGGTGTTGAGGTTGGGGCTTTGGATAAGCCACTCTGGGAAGAATGTCATCCAGCCACCATAGAGTTCACAAACACACAGTGTGATCTGTAGGAAGTGCCTGTCGGAGAGAAAGAAGAGAGGAATGAAACTGCCTGATGGATGTAGCCCAGAACCCTGAACTACTGCATGCATGCATCTATAGATTGATCAATTGATCTGTCATCTATCTTTCTTTTTTTTCTTTCCTTCCCCCCTTCCCCTTTTTTTTTTTAAAATTTTGGTTGTTCATGGGCTTGAACTCAGGGCCTGGGCAAAGTTCCCCTTCTGGCTTTACTTAGGGGTTAATTGAAGGGTCTCACAGACTATTCTGCTTGGGCTGGCTTTCAACAGCGATCTTCAGATCTCAGCCTCCTGAGTAGCTAGGATTACAAATATGACTCACCGGTAACCAGTTCACTGCATCTTTTCTTTAAGTGAAGTCTTTGCTATAGAAAACCTCTCCAGGGCTGGGATGTAACCTGATGGCAGAACAGCTTCCTAGCAGGCATGAGCCCCTGGGTTCCATTCCCAGCAACAATGCTTCTACAAGGTTGCCAGAGGTTCTGTACAGTGCTCTCTTGATGGGGTAAGTCAACATGATTAATAAAAACTCTTTCTTTCTTTGGGGGCAAGTAATGTTACTTTTTCTAGCAGACCATTCTTGGACTATTCTGAGGATTTAGTGAATCTCACATGAGCCACAATTAAATGAGATCTGTGGATAAGGGGGTAAAGCACTGTACCTCGCATATAATAAGTCCATGACAATGCGCATATTAGGCATGTTTGAAATAACAAACTCATAGGTACATGTAGTAATCCATAATTATGGTCTAGGAGCCAAAACTATAAGAAAGCACCGAGAAAAAAAATGTAACTTTTTTCCTTTAGTACTATGGTTTGAATTCAGGACCCTATGTTTGCTAGCCAAGTCCTCTACCCCTTCAACCATATCCCCAGATCTTTTTGTATTAGTCACTTTTTGATCATAAGGATCTCTCAGTATCTTAATCCTCCTATTTATATTTCCTATGTAGTTGAAATGACAAGCATATGCTACCACATCCAGCTTTTTAGTGATTGAGATGGGGTCTTGTGAACTTTTTGCCCAGGCTAGCCTCAAATCACGATCCTGCAGATCTCAGCCTCCCAAGTAGTTAGAGACATGAGCCACCTCATCTAGATGAAATTTTTAATTTTCATGGCCACTACCTCTGTAAAATTGGGTGAGGAAAAGTGCACCAAATGGCCTTGAAAACCTCTTTCAAATCTGAGATTTTATACTGAAGCTTTCCATAAGATTTTTTTTTAGTACAGATAGAAAATAAAATGCAGTTGTGCACACTGGACGTTGTTTTAGGGACTCATACCCTCCTCCAAGTACTGTTATCTTTTTATCTCAGGTGACTAAGAAACTCCCCAGGAGAGGAAAACACTAGGGCAAGGAGGAGAGATGAGCTCTTTCAATCTGACTCCAAGGATAGTTAAGTTCTCATCTCCCCAGTCTTCTGCCTACCCAAAGCAGCAAGAACTTGCTTCTGGAAACTTCTCTTCCCTTCCATGTCCAACTCACCCATGTCTAACACAGAGAATTCACTTTGTTTCAAGTGGGACAGAAGTTTTCTAGATCTATTTAGAGAATACAATATGGAATTATACATGTGTTTTACTCTTTCACATTTACAGTCTCCAAAATATTAGCGGTCAGTCATTCCACACTGTTAACACCATCTTGTCTCCACAAAATCACTGCTGTTCCCAGTATCCCACAGCTCCTACTTTTTTTTTTTTTTTTGGGTCCGGTCGTGGGACCTGAACTCTGGGCCTAGGCGCTGTCCCTCAGCTCTTCAGCTCAAGGCTAGCACTCTACCACTTGAGCCACAGTGCCATTTCCGGCTTTTTTCTTTTTGCTTATGTGGTACTGAGGAATCGAACCCAGGGCTTTGAGCATGCAAGGCAAGCGCTCTACCACTGAGCCACTTTCCCAGCCCCCCACAGCTCCTACTTTTAACTGTGAATGATCCAAAATTATCCTGTCTCCCCCGTGACCGTTAAGAGATATCAAATAATTTTCACTTCCGTTCTGTTTCCCATCTCACAACCTACTCTAAATGTTAGTCAGGCATTGAGACAACTGACGTTTGCTTTCTTTTAACTAAGGAAGTAATCACCCTCACTTACCGGTAATATCTCTCCATCACAATGGCATAAATGAGGAACAACGCCAGGAACCCACCTACCACAACGGTGAAAATTTCCACAGACACGATATTTGGATCAAAATGGAGCCATCGTATGTCAGCTTTGCCATACTCTTTCCCTAAAATCAAATCCTGCTGTCATCCAACTGGGGAGCATGATTATGATAGTTAACCAACATGACCTTTATCCTGGAAGGAGAGCAAAAGAATTCTCGCCCCACTCTCTGCAGGATGCCCAACACAAGTATAACAGTAATATCAGATACGTGGAATACTCTCCAACCTGCAAAGTGCACGCACATATTCTCCCTCACCACCGTGAATCCTTTTCACTATAAAGTAGCAAAATCCTAAATTAATTCAACATCATCAGATTTTGCAAACACAATCTTTTTTTTCTTTTCTCTCTCTCTCTCTTTTTGTCAGTCCTGGGAGGGACATGAACTCAGTGCCTGTGCACTGTCCCTGAGCTTCCATGCTCAAGGCTAGCACTCTACTACTTGAGTCACAGCGCCACTTCCAGCTTTTTTGTTTTTTCTTGGCAGTTAATTGTAGATCTATGTCTCTCAAGAGTTTTTTCCTGCCCGTGCTGGTATCAAACTGTGATTCTCAGATCTCAGCTTCCTGAGTAGCTAGGATTACAAGTATGAGGCACTAGCACCTGGCTGCAAAGGCAATCTTTAATCATGATCTTGGGAAATGCATTAAAATTTTTGTGCTTTAAATTTTCAACATTGCTGGATGCTGGTGGCTGACTCCTGTAATCCTAGCTACTCAGAAGGCTGAGATCTGAGGATCACAGTTCACAGCCAGCCTGGGAAGAAAAGTTCATGAGACTCTTATCTCCAATTAACCACCAGAAAACCAGAAGTGGTACCATGACTCAAAGTGATAGAGCACCAGCCTTGAGCAAAAGCTCAGGGATAGTGCCCCGGCCCTGAGTTTACCCCAAGACAGACTATATATATATATATATATATATATATATATATATATATATTTCCAACATAAAGACTGTAAGTATAGTTTAGTTGAGGAAAAATTATTACTAAGGAAATGTTTAATTAAAAATATATTTTTTGGTGTTTAATTTGTTTTATTTTGTTTGTTTGAGGTAAGGTGTTACTATGTAGCCCAGGCTGGTCTGAAAATCAAGATTCTCCTGTCTCTGCCTTCTGAGTGCTAGGGTCACAGGCATGAGCTACCATGCCCAGTTCAAAACGTTTTTTTTTTTCTTTTGGTGCTAGTACTGAGGCTTGAATTTCCAGTTTTTTAGTGGTTAATTGGAGATAGGAATCACATACATCTTCCTGCTTGGCTGGCTTTGAACTACAGTCCTTAGAACTCAGCCTCCTGAGTAGCTAAGATTACAGGGTGTGAGTCACTGGCATCTGACTTTTCAAAACAACATTTATTAATTGAATGCTGAGATGATATAGGATGAGGGAAACAATATAGTCAGATCTACAAAGTAAATAAAAAGGAGACAAAGGGACACTGCAGCCCCTCAGCTGTGCTTGCTGGGAGTAAAGGTAACCTAAGAATCTTTTTAGACCCATGATCAAAATGTTTCTTCTAGAAGCTCGCATGGACACACACACACACACACACACACACACACACACACACACACACACACACACGTGTGCGCTCGCCCAGAAACT